CGCGTTGAAAGAAGTCTTGGGGACGCGATACTTCATAGAATTAGTTCTCCATTTGCGGAATTAACGTTTTTCTTATAAACAAATATGCTAATGTAATTTGTATGAATCGAGAGGAAAATTTCTCCATTTCGCCAGTTCGATTTTCAATTTATATTTATATAATTTTTCTCATGAATGAGATGAAAATATATACGTAATATCTATTACAGCATAACATAAAGGGAATATTTCCTAATGGAAAAAGATGAAAGGATCTTTCTCATATTACTTCGTATTAATAATAATAACGTAATTAATATCGCATTACGGAACTTAGATATTTGTAACGAAATCTGTATGATAAAAATATAATAATTGTTGTTAACAATTTTTTGTGTCTACAAATAATTAAATACACAATTCACGATTACACAATTCTTGCTTTACCGCTTAACTACACGACGATTAATTAAAATGTATTATGAGATATAAACGTGATGTAAACGATGTACTTACACGATACATTGGTCAAACAACACGTAAAGTTGAATCGTACGCGTCCTAACAGCGGCCACATGACGCACGCGCGTCGGTCGCACATTCGCATTGGTTATGAGTGCATCAGCCGAAATGCGGCTAAAAGGGCGCGTAATAATTTCATCGTCCGGCGCTGGAGTTTGCAACAACTTTTTCGAGTTAAATACCGCGAGAGGACTTCGCTCGCTCGATTTCACGCAGCGGCGACGCGTTTTACAACCCGCGAACAATCCGCGTGCAGTAAGTTCCGCAGTAGTAACCGCATAACGCATAACGCGTCAGCCGCAGCTGCGGCGGGTGCAGCGCTGGGCAAACGTAGCGAAAAAGGCACTTCGACAACGATGCGGGGTCGTGCAATAATTCTCTCATTCAACAACGAAGCCAGCTCAAATGTGTTTGTTCTGGTTGGGCTCTAATTTTCATGACGGACCGGACATTGGAACAAATTACGCGAAGTTGTGGATAGTATGTATGCGAAGTGTCATATTTGTCGCGTTATTCTGCACAGTTGCTTCCACCTAATTGAAGGGATATTTGTGGAAAATGGTGCTTTTTTAATCTTAACGTAACAAATATTTCATGTTTCAAGTATAAAAATTTTTTGTTATTGCTTGAATATTTATACTTGAAACATTAAATATTTGTTAAAATTAAAAATATATATATAATAATAATAATAATAATAATAAATTTAGAAAATATATATATATATATATTTATTCCGGAAAGAAAAGTAACATTTAGCCAATTAACGACGCCACTGCTTCGAGAAAAGTTACAAGCTTCTCCCGATCACGCTCAAAGGATTTTGACAGGCAGCTCGAGAGCTGCACAGGCGACAGCGATCGAAAATTCTAGAGAGAGCGAGGCGATAAAGTCTGAAAGGACTCTCGGGAGAACTCCGGCGCGGACGCGAGTCCGAAGATTTACGCGAACGCAACGAGCGGCGCTGAGGAAAGAGACGGAGAGGATCTTCTCGCTTTTCGGTGTTTCGAACTTGACGAAGCGCGTCCGTCGCGGGTGAGTCGCAGTGAAACACAGTCGAAACATTCACGTATACATATACATTCCGTCTCCCTCGAAACTCACCGTTCCGTTCCCGGGGGAGGTGACGTCTTCCCGGTATTCGAGCGGTAACCGCACACATTGGAGCCCAGGCCGCGTTTAAAGGGACCGAAGATGAACTCTCTGGCGAAGAGATCTCTGTCCTGGGATACCTCTAAGTCAGCCAACTTTGAACGACTTCGCCGAATGCATCTCGAAGAAGGGCGTAAATTAGAAACGACGAGATAAAACTTTATCACGGAGCGTTCCGAAGCGCTCCGAAATAATTCAATACGATTGGTCCAACTATTTTTATAAACGATGCAAGAAAGATTAATGAACGGGACTCGTCAGGAGGACAGGCGAGTCGCTTAAGGCGCATTGATACGTTTATAGCAATAGCATTTTGATCGAAACACACGTCGCATCCGATGCTCACTTCCACCTCATCCCTGGTTAATCGAGCATGTCGATGACGCCGTATATCGATTACCTGCCGCTTACGGTGTTATCGAAACGCGCTTAATTAACGGAGAAACTGCAGCGAGAATAACGGTGTGAGTCGAGCGTTAATCGCGATGTGAGGAGCAAAAACGGGCAGTCTGAGAAATTGCCTTCGTGTTATAAATCTTTTTCTTACCTCCTCTTTCTCAGTTCTCTGCCATTTTTATCAAGAATACGTTGGCCTTACAATTTATTTTATCCTACTTTCGAGAAAATCTATCTCATTCGAGCGGAAAAAAAAGTTTAAATTGAGCACGTGTTTTTAGCTGCAGTTTTTTTTTCGCAATTAACTCATATGTACACATATTCCAGATGTAAGATTAAACTTATCTTTATTTCTTGCCATCACTGTATAACATCTTGAACATCCTCGGTGTATTTATCCCTTTTCTCACTCGGATTAATTGAAGGCACACAAATTTTGTTACAGACCGATCAAAATTATTTACTGATTATTTACTGATTATTCGAGATTGTTTATTTATAGATCGATCAAAAACGTTTAGGATCGCAAGGTTTCTGGAATCGAAAGAAATGGAATTGGATTTTTTTTTTGTTGGTTCTCTGTCAAATTCGCAGGATTAACGAAAATTTAGGGCGAAAATTTTAGCGACTTTGATTGACGACGCAAAGCCACCGCAAAACATGACGCTATTCGAAGTTGATATCGGTCTGACGTAGCGAGCGAATGGGACGTTAAATCGAGAGGCGCTCCTCTCGTGTGCCCTCCGTAATCCCGCCGCATCCTTGACCTCCGCCGCCATCGTTTCCACGCACGCAGTAATTTACCGCGAAACACGCGCGTCGTTACTCAGCCGTCGCTTTGTTCTCGGATTTTCTGCAAGCAGACGTATGCCCGAGATGATTTTTTTTGCTTCAAGATCCTTTACGTAATGATCGATAATGATGGCTGGACATGTGCCACCTAATGACTTCGGAAAAGGAATGCCTATGTTACTTATGCTTATACTATTATTAAATTTGTCTTTATTAATTTTTTCACGTCGTCATAGGATACTTTGAAAAACATTTTCTATATAGATAGGATGATTTTAAATAAGTGCGAAAAATTTTAGGGGATAATTCTTTGTCGAAAAAATTAAAAGGAGGATCTTTTGTATAGACAATATAAATTCTTATATTTTTCTCTGAGGAATTACACTTCTTCAAAGGAGGAGATGAAGATTATAGATTTTTTTTTTCTCAAATTCTGGATAAACTAAAAAATAATGGATAAATTGAAATTTGGTGAACATTAATTCACGAATAAAAAAGATATTTATCAATTTTTTTGTTATTTTCTTTTGTATTATTATAAGAGGAGTAACTACTAAACTCCTACTTAATTTTTATTAGAACTTTTGAATGGCCGAAATGTGATTGTCTAAAAATGTGTATAGAAAACTAGATTCCTTTAAAAATTTTTTAAATATTTTTCATACAATCAATAGTAAAAATAAACCTAATTTTCATCTTCTTTTTTGGAGGAGTGTAACTCTTTAAGAAGATAAAAAAAGAAATCTTAATTTTCGACCAAAAAAAAATCGATTGCTTCATGATATTTAAAGTATTATTAACATAACGTTGTAACAATTCAAATTTAAAGTATGTCAATATAATATCGGTATAAGAAACTAATTAAAATCTAAATTAACGTGTCGATACGTCTCGCGGTGTATCTGTACGTGTAAAGATGGGAGAAAGATGAAATCTAAGTTCTGATAAAACTAGGTTCAGGCTTATTTAAATGGAGATAATGATTGCTATAATATCCAAGGAGAAGAACGAAGAATGAGAGGAAGAAAAGAAGACAGCGAGAGGGGGCAGCGACAAGGGAACAGCTTGCACGAGCAAGAGACAAGGGGGGAGCGGTGTAATAACTCTGTCCGTGAAAGCCTCGTCGTGAGTTCATTAGTTCCGTACCGACGCGCCACAATGCTGGTTTAGTCCGCGGTTAGGACTTTCCTCGGAAATGCTGCGGCGCCGGCAAATTCAGTCAGAATTTACTCGCGGATTCCGTGTCGAAGCATTTACATCACACTAAAATATTAGATTATACATCCTTTCCCCGTCAAATGTGCTCGTAAACTGAATTTATCTCAGTCAGCTTTAAAAATAAAAGATTGTTTTACTTCACACTCGCGCGCATAAGTGGAATTTATTTCACTGCTATGATACTTGAGATTAATTTTCCTCGGTATTATGAAAAATAATATAAAATTTAGTCTAGGATTCTTAAATCTCACAAAAGGCAAAACTCTAAAAAGCAAATGCATACCTTGAAAGAGATGCGTCGCTTCACAAGGAAAAAGCGGACATAATATTTTTCCAATGAAATTAAATGAAAATATCAAAAATTAAATTTTTAAAAATACATGACTCAAATCATATCATTGCCCGACGGAATGCATTAAAAATGCTAAAAATTTCAAGCTTCCGTGATTAAATATTTTCATATTTTAGATAAAAATCCAAGATACAGAATACTTCGTAAAGAGAAAAGGATAAAATATATTTTATCTTAAATTCCTTTCAGCCAAGGAATAATCTGAATGCGAAATCTGTTTGAGGTGAAAATCTCCGCGTGTAGACTAACATATAAACTGCAAAAACGCAGTCACGCGAATAGATTAAATATCGCAACGGCGATAATCCCATCAGTAAACAACGCATCCCTATCCTCCAGGATTTTCGCATATGCCGAGATTTTGCCGGAAGCGGAAGCCAATGTGGATGCGACTGCAACAGACGAGGCTGTGTGCACGAGAGGGGCTCGACCGCGCGCACATAATCTCTACATTCGATCCGCTACTCGTCGCGAATTGCAGCTGCATCGCGACGTGCAGTTGCATGCGAATTATCGCGAGTCGCGTAACGCTTGTAAGGCTTGGCCGAGAGTTCGACTCAAAAAGGACGCGTCTTGCTTTCTGTTACAGAGAGGTACGACACCGCATACGCTTGCGAGGGCAAGACGTTGGAAATCGAGTGCGGTGAGGGGAAGCTGATTCACCTGATACGGGCGAATTATGGCAGGTTCTCCATTACGATATGTAATGAGCACGGAAACACCGAGTGGAGCGTCAACTGCATGTCGCCAAAATCGTTCCGCGTGCTGAACAACGAGTAAGTAATCGCACGTGCCGTGTCTGTACGTATTCTTTTTTGCGAATGACTTTATTCGATTTGCCTTGAACACTTCGTCCCTTTGATCTCCGTTTCCCCTTGGAAATGCCGCGAGCAGAGTTGAATAGTATTGCGGATGATAGATATGCACGTTCTATCGAAAAATGACGAAGTTATTAGAGAGATGTGCAATATCAAAGATTAGAAGATTTTGAATATAAAGATATGTGTATTAATGATCTAGTTATTAAGGTCAAGTTTTTAATAAAAGGCGAATGTTAATTTATATTAGAATAAATTATCTAATATCTCGCGCTCTATGTATTTTTTTTATCGAGAATAACTTTTCCATTATTTTATTTGTATTTTTATATATCTATTTTAACATTGGCAATGTCTCAGTTATATTTTTACGATCAGAAAAAATTACATTTAATACAAGATTTGATGTAAAAAGTATTATTTATTTGCATGTGATATAATAGAGAAATTGTTGCAAATAATTATTGAGAAATTAATTAATTTTCTCTCGGACAAATGCAATTTTTAATGAATGTTCAACGAAGCAGAAACTAACCTTTACATTCTTACAATCGCGAAAATTACTAAAGAAGATAATTATCAGGAATTCTTGCTGAGGCAACGAGCCATATCGTCGATTGACCTCAATTATTTTTTAATGAAGTATAGAACTATGCATTACGGAAAGAAAAAGATCGGCAAATATTTTGCAGTCATACTAAAGAAATTATCTTTAAAAAGATGTAAAATGTTTTATCGACTTTACCTTACATAGTATGATCAAGATCGTATTGATTTTTTGAAATAATCATATTTTCTATTAAAGTAATGTTCAACTTTGCTCGAGAAACATCAGCCGATCCCTCGCCAGTATTAAAAGGGATGAAAAACAATGGACAATATATAATATTTAATTAAAAGTGATGTCGAATATAACGAAAAGTAGATCAGACTTGTCACTTTGACAGTTATTTCACGATTTGTTTCTCGTGTATAGATTCGCTAAAAGTTCTATAAAATTTTAATGTAACATGGCACTCTCTGCCATTAATGAAAACATGCAATTTCATTTCATTCACTAAAAATAAATTTTATATATATATATTTAAGCTACAAGAATTAATTAATAAAGTAATTATGGGTATATCGATAAAAAAATAATGAATTTTTAATATATATTTATTTTTAAGTATATATTACATCTAATTACATTACAGACGAGACTTAATTAAATATTGTTTTTAAGTATTGTTCATTGATTTGTTCCTTGTTCGATGGATTATTCTCGCGAAGGGATCGTTCCTTTCTATCCTTCGTTCCTTAGCTTTCCTCCTTCAAATCAACAAAATGGAGCATACATTAAAAGACGGGAGCAAAAAAAAAAAAATGAAAAGTCAAGTGAGGGAACCGAGGTCGGAGGCAAACCGCTTCACATGGTCGAGCGAACTGGCCAATTGCTGGACCATTGAAGGGCACGTCTCGCGATGGATCGACTAGGAAGAGTCGCAATATCAGCGATAGCTTCGCTATCACGATCCACGCGAGAATCCGCTTCGTGTCCCTCGCTGCTGCGATCGTGAAAAACATGGTATATTCATCGGTTCTGAAGATCGGTCACTTTCGCGTTAGGAAAAAAAAAATGTGAAATGTGAAAATGAATTCACCATTGTAATAGAAAGTAAAAAGTGAAATAATTCACTGACAATTCTGGTGATCGATCTCCATAGTGTTCACATTCTGTAGTAGTCACATTCTGAGAGGCGTAACTAGGAAAATGGGAATGAGGTGTCACAGATGGATGAAAATTTTTCAACATTGCATAATATGTGCATGTGTTTAGGATTAGGATATTTTTATTAGTATGTTCGTATTAAATATATTTCTAGGATAAAATGAGTAAATATACATGTTCACCTAGTTACGCTACTATTCATTCTCGAAATTCTCTCTGTTTTTTGGATCACAATAAATCCGCAATTGTTCCACGGAATAACATATTGATTGACGTGATTATTATAAAATGTAATTGTACTTAGTTATGAGTTGAATGTTATCTGGTATTTCATATATTTGTTCGTAATTATATTTGTAAATATATTTGTAAATATATTTGAATTGCTTCTCATATAGAAACATATATTGTATTTCAAATATATTGAAGATTTAATACTGAATCTAATTTAATTAAATTCGAATCTATTCTTCCGTGGAGTAGTTGTTATCTAGATAGCCCAGATAAATATTCTTATACACATCAAAAAATACAATTCAGACTCCTGCTGTTTTGATTTATTATCATTATTGAAAGTCCGTATTCACAATAAAACGTTTCTGATTTATTTATTTCATAATTATCCGGAATGTACATTTTTTAAACAAGAAAAAAATAGCTATATTCGATGTGAAATATGTAATGAAAAGAATGATTATAGATCATTTATTATTTAATAAAAAATGATATCCAAGTGAGGCATTAATCGAAAATTTGTTTCATAATTCATAAAATAGAAAGAAAAAGAGATTGATTTTTTAGTAAATTTTATATTAAATTTCTTCAATTTTAATAGATTAAACAGATATAATCATAAATCTTCATTAATATTGAAAGATCTTATTTAAAAATATTTCTGACATTAATTATTAGCAATTAATTTGTATATTTTTCAATAGTGAGCGGCTATTCATTATATCTATAATATCGTTGGATAAAAAAATATCTAAATTATATTAATTTATTAAGTATTTTAATTGATTTTTTAATTATAATTTATATAAAATAAAA